TTACTAAAAATTGTATTAATCAATTATCAGAATGGGAAAACATACCCCAAGACAACATTAATAATTTAATAAGAAGCGTGCCAGCGCGGATGAGGTGACAACAAGGAAATACTAAAATTATCAAGTTTCTTTTTGATTTTGCTTTTTGGCCATTAAAAATTTAAATCTTAATTTCGTTTTAGAAAACAAAAAAATACAATTTTGTATATTTTGGGAACTGAATAATTTTTTTTTGTTGCTATATGGATTATTTTTCATTAAAAGTCATTGGTAAGGACTGACTTATTCATAAACACAAAATTTTCATACGTCTCAAAAATTATGAAAGATGATAGATGATTCCATATAAGTTTGGTTGTGTGTACTTTAGGGTGCAATTATATATCATAAAGTATAAATCAAAACAGAAGTGACCTTCCATCTTAATAACAAGCTGGCGAATACTGAAATAAGCGTCCAGTTTGGTAACACCACTGTGCGTAATAACAAATATCCAAAATATCTGGGGATTACTCTAGACCGTACACTCTCCTTTCGAAAACACCTAGAAAATGTTGCTGGGAAAATCAGTACACGAAATAACATTATACAAAAACTTTGTGGTACTTCTTGGGGTGCAAAAGCAACAACACTTCGGATCTCCGCCCTTGGTCTGGTATTCAGTGTGGCAGAGTATTGTGCACCCGTGTGGTTGAACAGCCACCACACAAATCTCGTAGACAGACAGCTGAACAACACCATGCGGCTGATTACAGGGACAATCAGATGCACCCCTAGTTACTGGCTTCCAGTTCTGAGTAACGTCCTATCTCCAAATCTACGCAGAAGCGAGGCTCTTCTTAGAGAATTTGATAAAATAATAGCTACCCCAACGCTACCTGTTCATAAAACACTTCCTGTTTTACAGGTGAATAGACTTAAGTCGAGGAATCCACCTTTGCGAACAACTGAACAACTAAAAAGCAGTAACTACAATTCTCGAGAACAGTGGCTTCAGTTATGGAGAGAAATGGCCGATGCGCACCTATATTCCTGGTTCAAACATAACTATTGCCAGACACCGGGTACCGATCTAAACCGGAAAACATGGTCAACTTTGAATAGGATACGCTCTGGCCATGGAAGATGTGCGGATTCCCTTTATAAGTGGGGAAAAATACCTTCCCCAGAATGTGATTGCGGATCCCCTCATCAAACCATCCATCACATAACTAGAGAGTGCAACCTACGCGCTTATGGTGAAGACTGGAGGGACTTTCTGGAGGCTTCTCCATCAGCTTTGGAATGGATAGGGCATCTAGATGTTAATATATAGTGTTCGTAAATACGTTTTTTATGTTGTCTTTTTATATTATACTTGTTTTTTTTTTTATATTTACATTGTAATGTTTTCATTTACATTGTAGTTTATTTTATGTCTATGTTTAAGTGTCTGGTTTTCTTGCATATATATGAGCCATACGATAAATAAATAAATAAATATATGTACCTGACATACTCTAAGTACCCTACCCCAACAATCCCAGCATCCTTCAAGCAGAAATCTACGCTATCGAAAAATGCATACAACTTATCTTAAATAGGAACTATCGGAACAAGAAATAGCCATCAAGCAGACTTAAGACTGATTACCTCAGTAACCATCAATTCGAAACTGGTTAAATAATGCCTGAGAAGCTGAACAATATTCCAGGTCCTTGAGTTCTGCTTCTCCAGTTCTCCAGTGAAAAGTAACTTAACAGACTCCATTGGTAACCTGGAATGGGAATTCTCCAAAGGTCTAAGACACTCCAAAAAAAATTTTCAGGATTTACGATAAAAATCAAAGATTTTCATTCATTTAAGTTAAAACAATTTTCGGATTTTCACGGGGCTTTTAACAGGACACTGTCTTCTCCACTGATATCGTAAATGGAGAATTAACCTCTGTAAAACCGTCTCAGATACTGGATTTTGTTCTGAAATTGTATTATGAGTTATAACTCAAGAAAGAGGAACACAATAGATCTATAAAGTGGCGACTCTTAACTTACCTGTCGTCTATCCTCATTTCCGACGCCTTTTTTTTCGATCACGTGGTTGGAATGTGTAATTTCATTTCTTATAGTTTTATTACTTTATTAGAATGACAAACATGAAGTTTTTTATTTTTATTTTTTTTTTGTTTTCCGAATTTTGAAATTTTGCATAAACTGAATAACCGTTATGTACCTACGTGCGATTACAAAATATAAATAATGGTTTATGAGGCTAATGGCTGGTTCCTTGCAATTATTAATGGGTTTAAATACTGCAATAAACTACAGTTATCTTAGAATTGAGATCTATAGGCGTGACAGTTATATGGAACTGGCATAACGAATTTCGTGTATGACAATGTTTAAATACGAAAACCTACGTAAACGGTGACTTCTATTTAATTTATTCGCACTAGAAAATTAATGAATTTACTAAATCGTTTCTCAGTGTTTTGATAGAAATTTATACCTCGTTTGTTGAAATTGTAAAAAATATAAATAAAATAGGTAACTCTTTATTGTTGTGAAAATTACTTTACCGGCACAAAATGTACCTTGCGAAATCTTGACTTGATGTTTTTTTTCAAAAATGAATGAAAGTTAATTTAATAGAAATTATGTAAGTGTACACTAATCAATTGATTTATATGGAAATGTAATGATATTTGGAATAAGATAATATAAAAGTGAAATTCTACGAAGATTTAGAAAAAATTTAGAATCGTATTTAAAAAAAGAAAGTTGATGATGGCAGTTGGAAGGCGAAACGTCGGTTTGCAAATCTGATAGATAACCATCTTGTAGAACAAAAAAAGTATGAATGAGTATGTGAAATTTATTTTGTTATATCTACCGGGTGAGTCTGGAAACTGGCCCACCCCTATAACTTTTTCATTTTTTCAAATAAAAAACGAGATTCGGTATGTTAGTATATGACATAAATAAGGAGTGATTAACGTATTTAATTATTTTTTATCTCTTCCTGTTTCACCGGAAATTACTACAACTTTTTATTTTTGAATAGCACTCTCGGTATATTTCGACATTATTCGATAGAAAATGACAGCCTTAATAGAATGACATATCATACGTCAACTTTTGACATTATTGTTTAAAAAATGGTATTTTAAATTTCAATTCAGAGTGCCATGCCTGTGTTAGAAGCACTAATTTTTGAGCCTTGGAAAAATAGATTTGATCGTCTAATGTTTTTCGTGTCTTGTCCTGGCCGGTTAAAAGATGCCCAAATTGTATTTTTAATCATATCTCAGTTTTTTCAAATGGAACGAGGGTGGCTCATTAACATATTTGGAAAACATCTTTTTACGAATAATTTGGTACCACACATTTCGAGTTAAATTGTCGTTATGAACCGCATGTTACAATTTCAAATAAACCATATGCGAAAATGTAATAAGTTGACATATGATATTTTATTCTATACAGAATATTATTTTCTATCCAATAAAGTAGAAATATACCAAGGATGCTATTTAAAAAACAAAAGTTGTAGTCATTTCCGGTGAAAGAGGAAGTCACCAAAAACAAGTGAATACGTCAATTAATCCTAATTTATGTCATGTACTAACATACCAAATCTCGTTTTTTTCTGAAAAAGAAATAAAAAAGTTATAGGGGTGAGCCACTTTAGAGACACACCCAGTATTCCAATCTTCGCAAGATTCCAAATTTTCAATCTTTTAATGTGAAATTTGAATGAGCATCAAATTACGAAAAATTGGCTCAATTTAACGCACCTCGTATCATTTCTAGTTTCGCAGATCCCAATAATGAGTCTCCAATTTGGGACAGCCAGTACAATATTTATAATATGTCAAGTTTAAAACGTCAATCATCTGAAACTCTTTGTACCGCCAATCAATTATTATGGCGATTAGATTATTTTGGAGATTTTTAATAGAGATATAAAAAATATAAATAAGTATTGAATATTGAATACCCAAAATTCATATCCCCTCACAAGTATATCCTGAATCATCAAAACCGCTATTAGTTTGGTGTTCGATGGACAGACCATCCATGATATTTTTAATTTGTTTCTTTTCCAGATTTTTCATTTGATTCATTATTAACATGTCATTATTAACCCACACCAAAAATGCACTATTAACACAAGGGAATCAAATTGTTCCAAAACCTCTGGACGCGCTTTTCTCTAATAATATTTACCATCATCATCATCAACAGACGATTAAATCCGTATCTTAGTTTTAATCACGAGCATCTACTAATGATGCTAACATTGTGAAAACGCGTCCAGCATAAATAAAGGTTTTGGTGTATTCATCGTCTAGTGTTGATTCTCTAATCTATCAGCAAAGGTCTCAACCTCGGTCCCAACCTAAACTAAATTATACAGGGTGTTTAGATAATGGTATTTAAGATTTTTTAACAGTTTTAACATCCTGTAACTTTCAAACTATGCTGCATTTAACTTTTTTTCATGTTTTTTGATGAGGAGCCAGTGAGTACCTACTTAATATAACATTTTGGCAAGTAAATTATATTAATTTTTTAAAGGTTTTGTATTCGAATTCGATTAAGGCAAAGTAATTAAACTGAGACCGAAATCTACAAAATATCAAGAGACAACTTTTAATCAGCATTTAAGGGTCTACACAATGTTGCTAATAAGAGAAAAAACGTCAGCGGCGCACATCTTTTTTTCGAAAAAATATGTCGCACTTATAGTAACTTTTACTACCAAAATTTTATTCGAATCACTAAAAGCACTTTGAGTTCTATTCCTATGAAAAGAAAAATTGTCCACAGATAGCGCATTAATGAAAATAATTTGATTTTATCTTAAAATAAACTTTATCGAAATAGGCTATAAATATATATTTTTTTCAAAAATTGGACTTACGAGGTTTTCAAAGTAAGGCATCGGTATCTTCCCATTAAACCCTGTCGCAATATATTTATTAATTTTCTCTTTAATTTTACTTGTTCATACTGTACCTTTTTCTTCCTTTCAATCTAATCCTTATATCACTTGAACTTCTTCCCGCATCCTTCTTCCATCCACTCTTTCTTTATCTGACCTAGTTATCTCGTCCGCTAAGACGGCGAACTCAGTTGGCCATGGTTGCAGTAAAACAAATGGCGCACGTGTTGCGCGCGGTTGTGCAGTACTACTATCGTCGACGAAATTGAAAATTAAACTGACTGAGAGTAAAAATCGCGCGCGGCTCTTGTTGCAACGCTATTCGAAAAGTTGGCCGCGGTTTGAAAATTGTAGAACGTCGACGACCAATAGGCGATGGAGAAAGCGGTACGGTGCGCCACAGATCACCGATCTAAAAATAAGCAGCGAGGACACGCGAGGATGACGGGATGGGTAACCGGAAGGTGTTAAATTTCGATGCAGTTCTCCTGCTGAAAAGATCTATTATAGTGAGAAAGATAGGTTTTTCTCAGTTTTTCATATTTTTCTGAAATAGTTTCGAGTTTTTTTTTATTTTGGAGTACTGGAAAACATTTTCAGGGTTAAAGCAAACAACACATAAGATTACATTAAGGGCCAAAACAGAAGAGGCATCACGACACTTGAACAAAATGTCGCTCAAATGTTGCTGACGTGTGTTTTTATTGTGACGATCTGATACGATAATATGTAAAGCCTAGTTCCACGCTTCTCACTTGGATGGCACTTGGATCGTATTAACCGATTTTAAATCAGTTGAAGTGAGACGCGCGCAGCGTCCAACTCACGTCCTGTGTTTGATGTATGGACACATGGTAAATACGTTTAAATAAAATATACGGGCACCGCTTAAATTCCTGTCCCGATATTGAAGGATGGATATATAATTTCAATGCATTTCCTACGTAAAGTCTATCTCTGTGTTGTAGGAGATTGACTAAACAAGGATAAACTTACGTCCTGACACCATTCAGACTCGATTTTCTGTCCTCCAATACTAGGACGTAAATCCTCTCATTGCTGTTATGGGGAGGCCGTCGTATATTTTATTTAAACGTATTTGACACATGGACACTTTGACCGTATCAACCAGGCTTGTTAAATGTTTTGGAGTCGCGTTAATCACCGCGACCTTACAGTTTTTATCTATTGTGTAATATCTCTCCGTTCTTGACTTATAATGAGTTATAACTCGATCATACAGAGCTTTGACAACAGTCTTCAATTATCTGAGACGACTGACGACTCCACAGAGGCTATATCCCCATCTTCGACGTCAGCCGTATCAAAGTTTATGGCATGAACGGTTGTCGTCTTGGTGCACTCAGTGATAAGGTGTTCTAGTGTTTCCTCATTAATTGTGTTTCCTCATTTTCCCTACATAATCTGCATTCGCCGTTGCTTTTCAGCTTTAATCTACTGAGGTATTCATTGAGGAGTTAGTGTTCTGTTAGAAGCCCCGAGAAAATCCGAAGAATGTTCTTACTTAAATCAAAGAAAATCTTCAATTTTTCTCGGTCGTAAGTTCTGAGAAACTTTTTCAAGCATCTTAGACCGTTGGAGGACTCCCATTCCAGGTTACGCACGGTGGGGTATTAGCATGAAAAAGGTGATCGAAATTGGAAAAAGCAAATGTGTTTTAAGATTTCCCAAAAATAAATAAATGATAAGTTAAATCATGTCTGCCATGAATGGCGTTTCTATGGGTGTGTTTAGTTGCATTCATTTGGTTCAACGAAACGTCAAAGTTGTTACTTCTCACAGATAAGAGGTAAATGGCTAAATTTTATGTGTAAAATTATAAATTGTTGTTGTTCTTGTGCTCTTTTTACGTTTATATTATTGTTTTGATTGAAAATGGATCAGCAAGCTGCAGTATGTATTCTACAAAAACGTATTATTTATTTTGATATTCTCTATACTAACTTTTTGCAACTAAAAGTTAGGCGTTCAGCAAATTTTATTAAATTTGTGACATTTTTATTATACTTAGAGATTTAGTTGTGCATTTCTAAGAATTCAGCATATTATTGTCTATATACTTTTTACTTAGTAAACATTGGGCTTTCATACAGTAAAATAAAATACTGCGACTTTGCTGATAAAATGAGAAAAACATTCTTGGTTTCCTCTAATTTGCCAATCAGTGATATACTAATGCGAGGTGTAAACCGCGATGGCATTGTTGTGTACAAAGCGATCGCATTAGTGCCATTAGCAGTATAGCACAATTTGGCATTAGTAGCGACTTTAGTGGTATGGGCATTGCTCGCGGATCAGTCGTAGCATTAGTAGTATTAGTTGCGATATTACTACTGGCATTAGTGGCATTGACAGTGGAAACACTGAAACAGTGATTTTTCTTTCTTTTTTTTAGAATCGACAAATTATCCTTTATTTTGTTCATTTTATTTCCTCTTTAATTGAAAATAGCAATAATTTATATAAGATCTACATAAAAAAATTTCGATCAACTATCTGTGTCAAAAATCAATCACTGGTGTTGTATATTCAACGTTACAAAACACAGCAAACCTCGAATCCTCTATCTCGCTCCCTCTTATAATTTACCGTAAAGCTGATTAAAACACCATTCGCTTTTTGGATGAGTTTAAGCAGACAAGCGATGTTCCATTTTCCGATTCAATGGAAGCGAATGTTGTGGATTAATGAATGATTTAGGCGCGAACGCCGTTGTAAGCAGAAATGTATAGTATTGCGCTCATTTCATTTGCTATAGCTTGATACTATTAATGCTCTATACTATTAATGCTTATAATTAATTATAAAAAATGTTTTAATATAATGTCATTTATTTGGTTATGCAGGCGCTGCCGCTGCATGCAAGCTTCATGACGCCTGCCGTACTGTCTGTTATACGTTGGGCTGTATCAAAGAGAATTGAACGTGCTTATTTTTATGAAAATGGCGAGCACCGCTGCCAGTAACAATAACATTGCTTCTTGTATAACAATAACATTGCTGAATATAAAAGAATTGATAGAATGAGATAAAATGGACAAATTAGTACCTAACTAATCTACACCTGATATTTCTTTCTATGTATGGATCATCATCACCATCATCAACCAACCTGAAGTGTCCACTGCTGGACGTAGGCCTCCCTCAAATCCTTCCACTCTTCTCGGTCCTGTGCCACTTGGATCCAGTTTCCCCTAAATCTCTTCAAGTCATCTGACCATCTTGTCGGAGGTCTGCCTCTGTTTCTGAGAGCATTTTGTCTTGGCCGCCATTCTAGTATTAGCTTGGTCCATCTATCATTCGTTCTTCTGGCAATATGCCCAGCCCAGTTCCATTTGAGTTTTTTAAGCAGATATATAGCATCTGTTATTCGAGTACGCTGTTTTATAACTGTACTGGGTATCTTGTCTCTTAGAGATACACCAAGCATTGCCCTTTCCATAGCTCGTTGGGCTACACGGATTTTTTCTATGGACTTTTTCGTCAGTGCAAGTGTCTCTGCGCCATATGTAAGTACTGGCATAACGCACTGATGGAACACCTTCCTCTTTAAGCACATTAGTAGATCTGATTTTAACACATATCTTAGTTTGCCGAATGCTGCCCATGTTAGTCCTACTCTTCTTTGTATCTCGTGCGTCTGGTTATCGCGGCCAATTGTTATTTCGTGCCCCAGATATTTATATGAATATACTTGTTCTATATTTGCTCCGTCTACCGAGACATTTCCACTAATAACAAGATTAGTCATTAGTTTGGTTTTTGAATAATTTATGCGTAGTCCAATTTGATCTGACGCCCGTTTAAGTGTTTTTAGCATATTTTGAGCTTCGTGTATTTTGTCTGTAATCAGCACCAAGTCATCAGCAAAACGCAGGTTATTGAGCATTTCCCCGTTAACATTAATGCCCATTTCCTCCCAGTTTAGTCTTTTGAACATATATTCTAATAGTGCTATGAACAATTTGGGGGAAATTGTATCGCCTTGCCGTACTCCTCTTTTAATACGGAATTTATTTGTGTTTTCGTGTAGCGATACAGATGCTGTTGCATGGTCGTATATATATTTTAAAAGGTTAGTATAACGGGTGTCTATACGACATTCGGCTAGGGCCTTGAATAATTTGTGTTGATCGATAGAGTCGAATGCCTTTTCGTAGTCGACAAATATTAAAATGAGGGGTTTATTATACTCAACACATTTTTCTATTAGGGACTTCACCACCAACAGATGGTCATTTATACCGAAGTTCGATCTAAATCCAGCCTGTTCTCTTGGTTGATATTGTTCTAGTTTTAGGGAGAGACGATTTGTGAGCATTTTTGTGAATAATTTGTATGTGTGGCTCAGTAAACTAATAGGCCGATAGTTGGTAAGGTTTGTGTTGTCCCCTTTTTTATGTAATAGGATTATATTGGCATTATCCCATTCTGATGGCGTTCTTCCTTCGACAAGACATTTGTTGAATAATATTTGCAAAGCCTTGAGAACCTTTTCTCCTCCTTCTTTAATGGCTTCAATAGCTATATTGTCGTCACCGGGAGACACCTATTATTTTTCATAAAGTTTAATGCCGCCGATATTTCATCTAAAGTAATATCTGGGATTTCTTCTGAGCCTTGATTCATCACAGTTGGTATGGTACTATACGAGTTTCTAGAGTTTGGGTTGTCATATAACTGCTGGTAGAAATTTTCCGTAACACGCAGAATATCTGCTCTATTTGATGTTATCTGTCCTTCTGCATTTTGCAATTTATGAATTAGTGCTCTCCCTATGCTTGCCTCTTTTTTGAAAATTTTTAATCCTTGATTTCTCTCAATAAGTTGCGTTATTTTGTTGGTATTGTGGGTTCTGATGTATTTCCTTATCTCTTTTGATATCTTCTTGTTAAGTTTCCTATAATCATCTGAGTGTTTGTTTATCATAACTCTACGTTTCTTTATCAGATCTTTAGTGTTTTGGGTTAGTTTTGTGTTTACCTTTTCCCTTTTTATATTAACTTTCCGTTTAGAAAAAGTTGTTGTTTAATAAATGCATAATTAATGTTAAAATTGGGATACAAACTTTTCGACCACGGATTATTGTTTATTCATGTATCCCAACACTTAATGAATTGTCTTATTCTTTAAAATTAATATTTAAAATAGTTAAATAATTTTTTAAGTTGTTGTCTTAAAGTGACGCAACGCGCGTGTTTCCACACTAACCCTTTTTAGCTGTTTTCATGGCTCTTTAAAAACTATAAATATTTGAGCTACAGTTCCGAGAGCTAGAATTTTTTCCAGT